AGAAGAGGGCATCGGATCCCATTATAGATGGTTGTGAGCCACCATGTGGTTGCTGAGAGCTGAACTTGGGTCCTCTGGAAGAGCAGTCAGTGCTCTTAACTGCTGAGCTATCTCGCCAGCCCAAGAGTTTTCTTTTTAGAGTCACAGGTCAAGCTCGGATGTCTAGTATACCTGAGGCCCAGCTGTTCAATCTTTAAATTTTTAGCCTTGAATGCTGGTGTAATGCCAGTACTCCAGAGGATTTGGCACTCTTGTGACCTACCTGAGCTGTATAGTAAGACCTTTCTTGAAAATAAGAGTGCCTGAGTAGTTTATTTTCTTTCTGTTAGATAACACATGGGCATGGTTGTATGCACCTTTAGTCCTAGCACTTAGGAGGCAGAGGCAGGTGGATCTTTATGAGGTCAAGCCCAGCCTGGTCTATATTAGTGAGTCCAGGACAGACAAACAGAGCTACATAGTGAGACCATGTCTCAAAAAAAAAGGAAGAAAGAAGGAAAAAGAAGAGAAAGAAATGAATAGATGGATGGAATAGTTGCCGTGGGTAAATATGGTGGTACATGCCTGTCACCTCAAGAGTCATGAAGATGACACAAGGGGATCACAGCTTCCAGGCCAGCTTGTGCTAACAATGAGACTGCCTCAAGAAAAAAAGAAAGCCTGTTGGAAACTGGAGAAGACTGAGCAGTTAAGAGCGTGCGCTGCTCTTGTCGAGGACCCAGATTATAGTCCCAGCACCAACTTGGTGGCTCCCAACTCTCTGTGACTCCAGGTCCAGGGGCTCCAGTGCCCTCTTCTGACATCCACAGGCACCAGACATGCAGATAGGCCTGAGGACAAAACACATATTAATGTGTGTATGTATGTGTGTTTATTTTTTAAGCAAAGGGGAGAGGGAAGGAAAGAGAAAAGAAGGAAGCAGTGTGGACAGAAGCCTCATGGGTACCAGGCAAGCTCTATATCACTGAGTGGTAAATATAAAATATCATTTTAAATCATAAGTTTAAGTCAAAAGCTATTGAACAAATTGAGAAAAAACGGAAGTAATTAAACTCTTTGCACCTTACATCCGTGCTTCCGCAGATATGCAGTGTAACTGCATGATGGGTGTTTTCCCCCCTATCAGCAGAGCTTGGCTTACGATTGACAGTGACATATTCATGTGGAACTATGAAGATGGGTACGTATGGAAGGCAGCTTTGGGATTCTCCTAACCTCTACTGCTTGTTGCATCTCATGTTCTGCTCATTAGAAGTCAGTGTTTGCCAGTACATACCAGTCATCTGGGGCTAGGGAGACGGCTCAGTGGGTAAGTGCTTGCTATATATAAACAAGAGCCTGCACTACTGGCCTACTGGTTTAGCTGAAACAGTGAACTCCGGATTCAGTGAGAAAAATTGTCTCAGAAGTAAAGTTGAGAGTGAAAGAAGACACCCGACATTGACTAACCTCTGGCCTCTGTACACGCATACACACTAGCTCACCTGCGCATACTCAGTCGCACAGGTGGATTCAGTTGGGAGCAATTTCTCAAACAATGTTGGTCTTAGTACTGCTGGAGCCTTCTCATGGCAAGCACTCCACAGAGCTGCATTCCCCAATACTAAGTACTGCTCTTGTTTGTTTGTGTGTTTGTTATTGTTGGTTGGTTTGCGTGTTTGTAGTCCTTGGGATTAAACCTAGTGTCTCATGCATGCTAGGCAAGTATTCTTTCATTGAGTAATATTCCCAGTGTCTGAAGTACTTCTCTTGAGAAGCAAGCATTAATTCCAAGTTTGTAGTCTGTAGAAAAGATTATACACTGGTATTTTTGAGCTCTTACTTGGCATTTTAACTTTTTTATTATATTTAATTCTTTTGTATACATGTGGGGGGGGTAGTGGGTTTAGGTGTGTGGGTATGTCCCACAGTATACATACATGTGGAGGTCTGAAATTCTCCCTTTCTACCATGTGGGTCCTGGTCATGGTCCCTTATCTGACATTTTAAAGACTTTTTTTTTGCATTTCTATGGACTGTGAATCTGATAATTAATGAAATGAATATTTGGTTATTTCTTGATTTTTGACTTTGTGTGTAAATTAAATATGTAGAAAATATAAAAGCCACAGTCAGCATTCCTTAAATAGAGTAGTATATTGATCTGGTTGCTCACCTGGCTTTAGAGGTCAGTTTTGTTTTACTTGCACTTTATATTTCAGTTACTCAGTTCCCTATTTTGAGTCATCCATATTATTCTTATTGAGTTAGGAAATGTCATAAGAAGGACCCATGTACCTAAGCTGTACTCTTGTATTGAATAACTGGTGCTCCTTTTAGAGTCATGCACGTGCACACAAACACACTTCAAAATACTTAACTAACATACAGTTGATACCGTATGACCACTTACATTCTGTAGAAAAGATACTTCTAGTTAAAACTGTTTAGATGTTTCTGTGGGTGTTTTAGATATAATAACAATGATCTGTGATTACTCTAAAAGGTCATCACATGTGTGGCATTTTTACTTTTCAAATCTAACATACATTCATTTCACAAATACTTCTCTTGAGACGTGGCTATGCCTTGCCTCCCCTTTGGCTAGGGTACAATGGGTTAGCCTTTATTATAGCAAGAGTTGGCTTTTGGATTTGTTTGTTGCTGTAGTAATCTCGCTAGCTTGGGTTTCCGAGTTCCTTTAGAATTTCCCTTTGTTAGGGTGGAGAATTAACAGTAAGCTTTCCAAGCTCCTTCCCAGAGTTCAGCCCCTGTGTCAGCAGGAGATGGTGTTGACTTAATAGTCATTGCTTGCAGCCCTGTTGGGCAATTGTTCCGAAGGCAGTATACCTTTACCTGTTTCTCTGCCTTAGCCTTACACTGTATATGCCTGGGTATTCATTTTTCCCTAGTTTTGTTTGCTGTTTTAGGTTTTTAGTCTATGTCTACATTTTTTTCAACTAATAAGGAGCATTGTAACTATGACTTAATATATGTATATATGTTAACATGTTTTCTTTACTTCTGGGCAGAGGCGACCTTGCCTATTTCGATGGACTCAGTGAGACAATTCTTGCTGTGGGGCTTGTGAAACCAAAAGCTGGTAAGAAGTAAAACTATCAGGATGAGATTATGACTGTACAGTCAGTCTCCCAATGTTTTAGAGCTGAATTAGAAAAATTCTTATTTTCCTAATGGCTGGCAGCAACCATCCTACTTTTTATTTATATGAATAAGTTTTTTCTAATAGTATTTGTCATTTTGTGTCCAACTCACTTCATTTAATACGAATCTTCACAGATAATACATGTATCTGTGATCTGAATTTCCTTTTTCAATTAGGTGTGGTGGTGCATGCCTTTAATCTCAGCACTGAGTGGGGTTAGATTGCTTTTATCTTTTAGGCTTTTGTCAATAGTGTTCCTGTTACTAAAGATATACAAATACAAATGTTTATAGTTCAGTAAACCAAAATCTGTTAAGATACTTTTTTAAATGACAGTAAATGTTGAACCACTTATTTCCTGAGTTAGTTTTTCCTACTGTTTATGTACTTTAATACTTTAAACATAGCAATATTTAAACATCAAAATTTGCTGACCTGGATTCAGACTTTTACTGGTTAATTAGGAGCTCACTTTAATGGTAAAACCGTATTTTATTCATGTCTAAATTGCTAGGTATTTTTCAGAATATAATTAGCCTTTGTCTGCTTTGCCATAGGCATCTTTCAACCTCACGTAAGACACTTGTTGGTTTTGGCAACCCCTGTGGATATAGTAATTCTTGGACTCAGCTATGCTAATGTACAAACAGGTATGGTAACCCACTCATATACTAGGTTTTTTAAAATAACACTGTGTTGAAGATTAGTATTATAATGCTTACAATACTAGATGCTCACACTATTTGAGTTTGTTTTTTCTTGGATATTTTACTGTGTGATATATATGTGTACTTTAGGTGCAGTTTAAGATTACCAAATTATCTTGAGTGAAGCTATGCGTGCATGAGTTGCTAGGAATTGAGTTCAGAGCCCTATATTAGAATGCAAGCAATTTACTACTAAACAACATCCCTGGACAATGTGTTAAACTTTTTGTGAATATTTATTTGTATTTTATGTGTGTGAATGTTTTGCCTGAGTGTGTGTTTGTGTGTGTGTGTATGTCCATATGCATATGCATTGTATATATGGAGGAGGAGGACAGAAGATGAAGTTAGCTCCCTTGGAAGTTAAGTTACAGGTGTTTGTGAGCAGCCATATGGGTGCTGAGAACTGAACCTAGGCCTTCTACAGTAGCATCAAGTGCTCTTTGACCACTGAGTCTGACTCATCTCCAGCCCCTCAAGTTTTTATGGTAACTTTATAAAAGATGTAATTTGGAATATTTTAGTAAGAATTTAGTAAAATTACCAGTTTTCAAGATAATGTGAAATTATTTAATCTTTCAAAAAGCTAAGAAATTGGTTTTTCTTGTTGTAAACATACAGGTTCTGGCATTCTTAATGACAGTATGTGTGGTGGCATGCAGCTGCTTCCAGATCCTTTATATTCTCTTCCCACGGACAACACTTACCTTTTAACAATCACCTCCACGGATAATGGCAGAATTTTTTTGGCTGGCAAGGACGGCTGTTTGTATGAAGTAGCATACCAAGTAAGCCTTAATGTTTACAAACTTGTTCTTGTCTTCTGCTCAGTAGCAAAGGAAGAAAAAAGCTTTTCTTTTAATTTTCTAATTGCATAGCATATATTATTAGAGAGAATATTCAAGCATAAATTTAAAGTATAGTCTTCCTTCACTGCTCCACACCTATAGACCCAGTCCTTCCAAAATAAAAGCTGTTTTTCTTGGTGGGACAGTGTCAGGGTTCTGAAACTCAGCTCAGAACGTTACAACTGTTAGACACACAGTGTGTCTCTGAGCTGTATCATCAGCTCTGTCACATGTTCACCCGACTGGTGTATGTCGTTAAAGGATTACTCATTGGTATATGTGTATTGATACACATACAAATACCTGTGTACATGTGTTTGTGGATCTACAAGCAAACTGTACACTTTCATAAATGTATGTTTTTACTTTGGTTACTGTTACTTATTTTTATAATTGGCTTTTCATTGACTTATGTGTCTTGAAAGTCATTTGTTGTATTTAGTAGTTTTAATTACAAAATAAAACTCCATAGGTAGTTTTGAAAAGGATGTTTCAGTGTGGTCACAATCACTGGTGAAGCATGGAGACTCGCAGGCTTTAAGAAGCCTGGAGACAGTTGTTAGGTTATGTGGCATTACAAATGTTGTGCTTGTCTTTCCTCCAAGGCAGAAGCAGGCTGGTTCAGTCAAAGATGTAGGAAGATAAACCACTCCAAGAGCTCACTCTCCTTCCTCGTGCCTTCCTTGCTGCAGTTCACATTCTCAGAAGATGGTAAGTAGGAAACACATTTGACAAGTAAAACAAAACTTTCATGCTTCAAGACTTAACATTTTCTTCAGAACTTTTCATCCTCAGATAAAATGCTTGTCATATTAAATTGCATTTGTTATATGTCTATGAAGTCGCTTAAAGACCAGAGGCATTATAAAATGGAAAAAACATGGATTTTATTCTCAAGTTAATTATTTCCTAAAAACTTCAATCAAAACAGCTTCCCTACTTAAACCACAAAGGGGGTGTGACATGCAAAAGTAAAAGACTAATTTGTATTTGTGATAAAGGGTCAAGGGCAAATTCCCTGTGAAACTTTATATCCTTGAGTTTTAGTGAACATAGAAGCATAACTTTGTAGGATTAAGGCATGGTTCACCACCTGGCTAGAAAGTGCTCCTTACCACTGAGCTGTCCTACCTAGATGTCATGCTTTGTTTTTATTGAAAAATTAGGAGTGTAACAATCTTTGTGTTTCTAGCATATATATAGTAAATAATTTGTTAAGTATTACTGAATGAAGGAATAATCTAAACTAGGCATAGTGGCACATACCTCTAATTTCAGTTCTTGACAGGCAGAGACATGATAATTTTTGTATATTCAAGACTAGCCTCGGCTGCATAAAGAGTTAAAAATTCACTTAGAAGACAGAATAAGTTGTTTTTGTTTTAAGACCAAGTTTTGTTCTATAGCCCCGTCTGGCTTTGGAACTCTTAATAAATGTATTTCTCAGACTCTAAGCAGTCCTTGTACCATAGCCTGCTGCAAGCCAAGATGACTGGAGAGCAACATCCAGTATCTTGCCTAATAGTGTAAGTTGTTTATGATACACGTGACCCTGTCAGTATTTGACGTCTTTGTCTAATTTGAATGTTCCTGGGTCGGGAACATTATAGACTCTAACAAGCAAGCAAGAGAGCAGAAAGCGCCTGAATGCAAATCCTAATGCAGCAGTTTTAATTTGTTGTGAATGGATCCTGTGTCTAATTGATAATCCTTAGGGCTGGATTTTCTTCTCTTGTTTTACTTTTAGATCCTATTGTTCAAATTGAAATTGATAATTCCAGAAATATTTTGTATACACGATCAGAGAAAGGAGTGATACAGGTAAATATGCATATTTGCTACCATTTAAGATTACAAAGGCATTACTGTTTTATTGTCTATTTTTTATGAGTTATTTTATTTATTTACATATCAAATGTTGTCTCTCTTCCCGATTTCCCGTCCGAAAACCCCCATCTCATTCCCCACTCCCCTGTCTCACCTCCCCATCCACTCCCATTATTTTCTAATTTCTTTTTTTTTTGGGGGGGGGGGTCTTTTCGAAACAGGGTTTCTCTTTGTAGCCCTGGCTGTCCTGGAACTCACTCTGTAGACCAGGCTAACCTCGAACTCTCGAACTCAGAAATCCGCCTGCCTCTGCCTCCCAAGTACTGGGATTAAAGGCGTGCGCCACCACTGCCCAGCTATTTTCTAATTTTTAAAAAATTATTGTCTCTGTGTGTACAAATGTGTGTATGCACACCTATGTGACACAGCCCACATGCAGAAGGAGAGGATAACTTAGAGTCAGTTTTCTCTTTCTGCTGTGAGATCGAGAGATGGAACTCAAGGTGTGAGGCTGGTAGCGGCCAGTACCTGTAGCGAGTGGATTACCTTACCTGCTTACATAACTGTGTTACAAGGAAGACTTAAGTATTCAAACTTCCTGTGAACTGTGAACTTTGTTGTTGTTTGAGACAAGTTTTCATGTAAGTCAGACTGGCCTTAAGTTTGTTGTGTAACCAAGGGTGGCCTTGAGCTCTTCTCCTGCCTCCACCTCCCAGTCTGGATTGCTCCTGTGTGTCACCTTGCTTGCCTTCATTTGTCTGCTTTTCAAATAAACACCTCAAACCACTTCTTAGGCCATTGTTTATTATTTGTTTGTCTAGTGAGATTTCAAACATTTTAATGTCTATTAAGTACCAACTTAACTCTTCTTTAAGGGGACAAGCTAAATTTAATATTATGTATATGCTATGTAATTGTGTCTAAAGAAGAATATTTTATTCTCAGGTTTATGACTTAGGCCATGATGGACAGGGGATGAGTAGAGTTGCTTCAGTTTCACAGAGTGCCATTGTCTCTGCTGCTGGAAACATTGCTAGGTAATGTGTACTTTACTGTCAATGTTTCGTTTGCAAACATTTATACTGTTTATGATTAGTATATGTAATATGTTCATTTTATAACATGTAATATGTATATATTATGTACTATACTAAGATGAGATTATTCCTTCAAACATCTCTAAAAGATTATGAGTTATGGAGTGTCACCATAAGCTGTGTTTGAAACCTTGTTGCTACAGACTGTTCTCTTGGTTTTTTCAAGACAGGGTCTCTCTGTGTACTCCTGGCTGTCCTGGAACTCACTCTGTAGTCCAGGCTGGCCTCGAAATCAGAAATCCGCCTGCCTCTGCCTCCCAAGTGCTGGGATTAAAGGCGTGTGCCACCACTGCCAGGCTCAGACTGACTGTTCTCATATTGGTTGGAAGTGAAGTACTTGTTGTATTTTACCCTCTTGGCCTTTTTTTCAAAGGCTCTGAATATCAAATCCAAGGTCTCCCTCAGACTAGGCAAGCATTCTACCACTTGCTAGACCTCTAGCCTTTTTCCTTGAAACATTAAGCTCAGGTTCTTTGCAGCAAATATTGTAGACATTATAGCATGGTCCCCTACTCTGCCCTTCCAACAGGCCTACATGATACAAGTTAGAATTTCATAGAGATAATATCCTCATATAATTCATGATAAAACTGAAACTAAAGGAAATAATGGATTCCTTTGGCTTCTTACAGGGCTAGAACCCAATGTGAAGTCTAAGGAATTTGGTATTGGATGCTGAACTGATTGTTGCAAACCTCCTAAATTCCTTAGTGATCTGCAGACATTCTCCTCAATGTATAACTGAGGTTTCACATTTGCTAATGGTCTTTTTAGTGGTTTGTAAAGAGGGCTAGTCTTTTTTTTTTTTTTAACCCCTTCCCTTCTCCCTCTTGTTCTAGCCCAAAGGTTTTATTTATTATGTGTAAGCACACTGTAGCTGTCTTCAGATACCCCATAAGAGGGCATCAGATCTCATTACGGATGGTTGTGAGCCATCATGTGATTTCTGGGTTTTGAACTCATGACCTCCAGAAGAGTAATTAGTGCTCTTAACCATTGAGCCATCTCACCAACCGGAGGGCTAATCTTAAAACTGTACATCTACTGTAGTTTTGCTACTTCCTCTGCTACTGTGTTGCTTTCTAAGGAATTAATCTTACTTATTGAGACAGAGCCTATCTATGTGGCCATCCTGGAACTCAATACATAAATCAGGCTGGCCTCAAACTCACAGAGATCCACCTGCCTCTGTCTCTATGTACTAGGATTAAAAGCATGAGCCACCACACCTGCCTCAATGTTGACTTTTTATAAATTAGGAATAAACTTTAGTTTTTTTGTTTCTTAAAGGACTATTGATCGTTCCGTTTTTAAGCCAATTGTTCAGATAGCTGTGATCGAGAACTCTGAATCACTGGACTGTCAGTTACTGGCTGTCACTCATGCAGGTATGCTTGTTTCTGTAGCTGCTGTTCTACCTGTTTTCGTGATTTTGGATTGGAAAATTAGAACTGTTCACTCCTTCATTAAGATGGGTTGAGAATTCTTTTTTAGTGGAGGATACTGTTTTCTCTCATAATATTGTGAGACATAGCCAGATCTGTAAAGTGAAATGGCTTGTGTTTAGTGACAGAACCTTAACTGAAACACAGGTTCCCTTGGCTCGTCACAAGTTCGTGCTACAGAAATAGACCGAGTCACTGCTCAATTCTAGACATTTTCTAGAAATTTGTGTAAGTGCCTAGTCTATCATTTTAGGCCAGTGAGGAAATTGATGTGTGCTTTTGCAGACGTCTGTTTGTGTGTGGGATTTCTCCAGCTCAAGTCTGTGTGTGTGGGATTTCTCCAGCTCAAGTCTGTGTGTGTGTGGGATTTCTCCAGCCCACGTGTATTACCTCACATCTTTACTAATGCATATGTTTACTGTCTCGTTAGGTGTGAGGCTGTATTTCAGCACTTGTCCGTTTAGACAGCCGTTAGCTCGGCCCAATACACTGACACTGGTTCACGTCCGATTACCTCCTGGATTCTCAGCATCTTCAACAGTCGAAAAGCCCTCGAAAGTACATAAAGCACTTTATAGTAAAGGTAAGTTCTGAAATCCTATAAATCTTATAAATCTTAACTTTCTTTTTTTAATGTCTGTGAGTGTTTTCCTTATTTATATCCTTGCACCATGAACATGTCTGGTGGCATTGGTGGTCAGAAGAATGCACCAGACTTGGAACGGTAGTGTTTGCAGGTAGCTTTGAGCTGTCACATGGGAGCTGGGAATTGAACCCAGGTTTTCTGTAAGAGCAACAAGTGCGCTCTCTGAACTGCTGAGCCACCTTTCTGAGCATCACTACCACCAACCTTTTTTTTTTTTTTTTTGAGACAGTGTCACACTGTGTAGCCCTGGCTGGCCTGGACCTCTCTGTAGACCAGGCTGTGTTTGAACTTTCAGAGATCTACCTGTCTCTGCCTCCTAAGTGCTAGGGTTAAAGATGTGTGCCATCATACCAGGTGATTGTTCAATATTTCATCTTTTTCTTTGCAAGAATTTTTTTGTATCATCACAGCACTCTTTAAATTATAACTTTATAGACATTACTCATAATTGAAATTTAACCTTCTAAAGTATAAAAAATTGGTGGGTGTTAGTTTATTCAGTCTTGTACAGTGATCACCACTGTCCAACTTGATAATATTTTCCTTACTCAGAAAAACGCCATGTCCAATGACAATTGTTCTAGCCCTGGAAAACTTTGACATCCTTTTCTTAGTAATTTGTCCATTTTGAACATCTTATATAAATAGAAAAATATATGATTGACATTGAGTTGCACTAAGCACAATGCTTTAAAGATTAATGATGGTATAATGGGTATTAGCACTGTGTCTCCAGTTTAAAAAACTTAGCATGTATGTAGAGGTGGGGATAGTTGTTGGTGTGAATGAGAGGCCAGCTCTAGGGGTAGGCGCTCTTGTTCAGCCCGGTGGGTTCCAGGAACCAAGCCAGGTTGTCAGGGAGCCGGCGCCTTTGCCTGTTGAGCACTGTCACTCACTGGAACTACAGGGAAGAGCTAACATGCCCTGTGCTCCCTCTCTATTGTAAATAATGTTTAGTTGTGGAAACGGTGCATTCGCATTGTTTCTACTTTGTACAGTGAATTGCCCTGTTCCTGTAAATGTTTGTGTCAAGCTTGTATAAGGACATCTGTTTTCATTTCTTTGGGATTGAAATTGTTGGATCATGTGCTCACTTTGGTTTTGGTTTACCTGTGACTGACTCTCAGGCTGTCTTTCAAAGTAACTAGGACAGCTAACACTTTTGCCCATTGTGTAAGGCATACTCACTTGGGCTACATTGTTGCCAATACTTGTTTCTGGTTTATTCCCATCTTAGTGGAAGAGAAGTTACTTTTTATCTGGTGGCTAAAGATGGCGGGCAGCTTTCCAGGTGCTGACCAGCCACTTAACTTTCTCCTTTGCAAAAAAAAAACAAAAACAAACAAACAAACAAAAAACCAACGGTTCCAAGCCTTTACTTTTATTTCTCTTACTGAATTGAGAATTCGTTGTATATTCTAGATACAAGTCCCTTATCCAAAGAAGTGACCTGCTGATATTTTTGGCATTTGTGGATTGTCATTTCATCTGAGTATCCCCTCTGTGCTTTATTATTTTACTGTTAGATTTAGATTTAGTAGGGTTTTTTTTTCCTTCTAATATTAAAAATGTATTTTGTGTTGGTCTATATGTGTAGGCACATGTCTGTCATGGGGTGAAGTCAGAGGACATCAAGGAGTTCATTCCTCCCTCCCCCAAGTAGTTTCTGGGGTCAAACTCAGGTCAAACAATTGTCTTTGTGACAAGAGCTTTATTTGATGAGCCATCTGCCAGTTTTGTTAGTAATTTTTATGTATCATCTAAAGGAAGGTATTTCTTTGCTTTTGTTGTTGTTTTTTAAATGGTGCCACAGTTCAAACCCAGAGCGTAGTGCCTGCTGAGGAATCTCTCTGCCTGCCTCCAGCTACCTCCATGTTTAACCTCTAGGAAGGGACTTTGTTTTATTCTTTTGCTTTGGATATTGTTTTGCAAGCACTGTTTGTTTTTTTAAAAAATCTTTCACTATTGGATTCTGCCATTGTCTTGTATGAATTGCCTATAGAGATGAGTCTCTGGACTCAGTTCTGCCTAGTGACCTATATATTTCTGCTTAAGCTAGTCACAGTTTTGACCACTGTTGTTTTGTAGTAGGTTGTGTTTGTTTTGTTTGTTACAAGGTCTCATTGAATCAGGCAGGCTAACCTTGAAATCATGATCCTCCTGAGGATATAGAATAGTCATATACCACCACACCTCTTCTTTTCCTTTTAAGACTTACTTTTAATTATCTCTCTCTTTTATGTCCAGAATGTGTGTATATGGGCCAGTGCCCTCCAAAACCTGAGGCATTGGCATCCCCTAAAGTTGGAGTTACGGGGTGTTAGGAACTGAGCTCAGGTCCTCTGCAAATCAGTATGAGCTCTGACCTCTGAGTCATTTCTCAGTCCCCTGTTTTAGATTTTAAAGTTAGGTCACTCTTCCAACTTTTGAAAATGCGCTTCTTTTTAAATTCACAGTATTTGTATTCTCTTTGAAGCCATTACAGATAAAGTTAGGTTTCTATGTTTTATCTCCCCTTTCGTCCTCTGTCTCTAGAATTAAGTTTTAAACCCAGAAAAGATATTCTGGAAAAGAATGATATTGTTCTCAATTTGTATAGCATGCAATAAATCCTGTAGCCTTTCCTTTTTTAAACTAATTTATTCTTTTATGTGTATTGCTATTTTGCCTGCATGTATGTCTGTGCATCATGTGCATGTCTGGTATTTAGAAGAGGGCATCAGATCCTCTGGAACTAAAGTTACAGTGTGAGCTCCCATGTGAGTGCTGGGAGTGGAACCCAGGTCCTCTGCACAGCCTGTATTCTTAACCACTGCCATGTCTTTAGGCCCTGAAGATTGTAGGTTTTCAAAGTTTGACAAACTAGAATTTAAGAATTATCTTCTGCCACATTAATATAAATTAGTGGCACTCAATATTTTACTGCCTAAACATGGTCCTGGCCTACAACAATAATGGACACAAGATTGATGTCACTAAAGACCGTTTTAAGGGGACAGTTTATGTAGAGGAGCTGTAATCAAGCATAGGAAAGGATACATGACACTTGTGTCTATTTGAAACATGATGCATTTAAATTCACCATACATAGACTATTTTGCCTACTGAAAAGTTACTGACTTTAAGAAAAATTTATATACTGAGTAAACTTTTATAAGTTAATGAAATTGATAAGCCAGTCAATTACAAAATATATTTTAGCCTCAGACACTCTAAATTGTGAAAAAAATACATGTTCAATTTATTTGCAAACATTTTTAGATAGCTGATTTTTTTCTATGCACTATTTATTTAAAAGCAAAGTCCTTTTCTTTCCCCACTAGATTGTTTCTTTCATTGTATAGATTGTATATATTGCTGATATTAAGGCTATTGGGAATGCAGATTATTTAGCATCATGTAATAATATTCTGTATGTTTAACTTTTAGGAATTTTACTGATGACAGCCTCAGAAAATGAAGATAATGACATCTTATGGTGTGTCAACCATGATACATTTCCTTTCCAAAAGCCAATGATGGAAACTCAGGTCAGTAACTTTGAGATTTTTAATAAAAGTTGTGTGGTGTTGGGGATCAGACCCAGTGTCTGCATGTTATGTTAAGCATTCAACTGTTTAGACACATCCCTACTGCAAGTATAAACATTTTAGGTGAGAAATGAAATGCTGAGTAAGTTTGTCTTCCCAGTTATGGCTGCTTCCATAGTAATACATGATTAGAACTCTCAGAGTGGCTCTGGTGACGTGGGCCTAGGTTCAGAGCACTTGATGCTCAATCAGGAAGACTGGAACTCTGATCCCGCATTCTCATCAGGTGCCTTACAGACACCTGTAGCTTTAGCTATAAGGGAACTGATGCCCTCTTTTTGCTTCCTTGCACACTCACATACTAATAATGAGCACATACACTTAACAGACACAAACCTGAGCACTCGTGTACAAAAATACCTTTTATTTTTTTAGGTTTTTAGATTTAATGTGTGTTAGTGCTTTTCCTGCATGTATGAATGTATGTATGTATGTATGTATGTATACTATGTGCATGCCTAGTACCCACTAAGGTTAGAAGAGGGTGAAGGGTTTTCTTCAACTGGAATTGCACCATCACATATAAATGCTGGGAATCAAAACTGGGTCCTTCCCAAGATTAGAAAGTGTTCTTAACTCAGCCATCTCTCCAGCCCCAAAGAAAGCTGTCTTAGAGTAAAGAAATAAATCTTGGTAATTTTTATTTTTAACTCTGTCAAACCAGAGGTGATTATAGTAATCACTAAACAATCAAAAATCTTTCTTTTTGTCAGGTCTCATTATATAGCCATAGATGGCTAGACCAGACTAACCATGAACTCAGAGACCCACTGGCCTCTACCCAAGTGCTAGGACTATAGGCATGCCATGCTGGGCTCTAAAAATGTATATGTGTGTGTGGCTGGTGGTGGTAGTACAAGGTTTCTCTATGAAAGAGAGCCCTGGCTGTCCTGGACTTGCTTTGTAGACCAGGCTGCCCTTGAACTCACAAAGATCTGCCTACCTCTGCCTCCTAAGCACTGGGATTAAAGATGTATATCATCCCGCCTGGTGAGAGTTAGTTTTAATGTATCTAGAACTTGGAGTCGCACTACTGTGAACCTACCAAGGCTGTGCTAAGGTCAGTTCCTGGTCCGTGATGAGCTGAGGGCCATCCCTTTTCTCTCCCCTAGTGTCCTGGCCCACTCTGTCCGAGTCACCCTGCTCAGCTTTCATAAGTGCTAACCAGGTCCAGCCAAACCTGCTGTCTCCACTGCTGTGATCTCTCTGCTTTTCGGGGGTTTAGGGCTTTATTTGTTTGGATGTTTTTATTTGCTTGTTTGTTTGTTAGCTCTCTATATCTGGTTTAGAACTAGATATTTTAGCCCAAGTTGGGCTGGAATTCATGGTAATCCTCCTGTGTCAGTCTTGTTAATTCTGCAATTAGAAGCTTCACCATCACACCTAGCTGAAGACTTACTTTTAAGTAAATTTTGTTTTCTACCCTCAGTTTGTTACTTTGTAAAAGTGAAGATATTAATTACAGTAGTAACCAGAAGGTGGTCATGAAAATCAGGACTTGCCGGGCAGTGGTGGCGCACGCCTTTAATCCCAGCACTTGAGAGGCAGAGGCAGGCGGATTTCTGAGTTCGAGGCTAGCCTGGTCTACAGAGTGAGTTCCAGGACAGCCAGGGCTATACAGAGAAACCCTGTCTCGAAAAACCAAAAAAAAAGAAAAAGAAAAAAAGAAAAGAAAATTAGGACTGTTGGCAGGTAGAGACCTAAAGACCACTCAGTACAACCAAATTCTAAATTGAGGGTCTGTATTGAACCAGCCAGCAATTGTGTGGGATTGTGAGAGAAACACTTCTCACAGAAAGCGCTTTACAGGGAGCACAGGAAAAGAACTGAAAAACTACATTCTGATTGGCAGTTGCAGGAATTTATAAGCAAGCAAGCAGTTTATCAGAAGATAAAACCATTCAGTTAGCTGGGGCATTTTAACCCCCAGTTTCTAGAACAGTGTAGGATGCTTCTCCACAGGACAGTGGGTAGAAGATGAAGGCCCAGTCTCACCTCTTCCAGAGGACCTGGGTTCAAGTCACAGCACACATGGCAGCTTTCATCTTTCTGTTAATCCACTTCCAGGAGATTGGACACTCTCACACAGGCACATGCAGGCAAAACACCAGTGCACGTGAAATGAAATGGAATCTCTCAGGCAGTGGTGTGGTCCCAGACAGTGATATGATCCCAGACAGTGGTGTCGCACACCTTTAATCCCAGCACTGAGTAGACTGACAAGCCTGATCTACAAGTTCAAGGACAGTCAGGGCTACACAGAGAAACCCTGTTTCTAAAAACAAAACAAAGAGTAAAAAGCTAAGTATATACTGAATAATTCATGTTGCTGGAACTAGAGAAGTTTGGTTGTTTTATTTTTGTGTTTTCTTGTTTTCTAAATGCTTTGGCATGTGTAACTTCAACAAAATATGAAAACAGTATATTTCCTTTTTCTAGATGACAACCCGTGTTGATGGTCATTCCTGGGCTCTGTCTGCAATAGATGAATTAAAAGTAGATAAAATAATCACGCCTTTAAATAAAGATCATATTCCAATAACCGACTCGCCGGTTGTTGTACAACAGCACATGTTACCTCCAAAGAAATTCGTCCTGCTCTCCGCACAGGTATGTGCGTATCTGCTTACCACCGAGGAAAGAAGCCATAGCGAGTATGCTCACGTCTGGTTTCTTCATTGCAGTGCTGACAGTTGACTCAGAACTGCTGCATGCTTGGCAGACACTACTGCTGTGCCATTACCCTGGTCTCGTTACTTAATATTTTTGTCAAATACTCTGAGATGTCACTTCATGGAATTATTTTTAAGTGCTTTATAAATGTTTACTCTTAATTTTTTAACAGTAGTGAATTGCCCTAGAAAATACATAAAATGAAGTCTCCTATCCAGATATCTGTGTTATCAATATCTATATATTTACAGATAAATTAAGAGAATATAATGTAAATATTTCTAAGTAAATGCTCACATTCTATACAGTGTCCTACATCTTTAAAGTTCAAAAATATCCTTTTTAGATTTTTCTACCTATACTTCTAATTTGTATTTGGCAGTAATTTTTTGTGTAAATGTGCCCTGGTTAACTATTTTTTCTTATTTCATGTGCATCCTTAATGCTGTGGTGCTAATTCTGCTTATACCAAGTATATGTGTGCATATTCACAAGTCATTTCTGTGAATACCCTTCCCTAATGATAACCTTCCCTAATACGTTTTACTGTCTAGTAAGATGAGTTTAACCACCTTTTCAATGTTTATATTGCTGTATACTGTCAGTTTCTGTTCTATATAGTGATGCTTCCTTTTCTATGATTTTGCTTTCCAAAGTTTTAGTTTCTTCTCTTTCCCCATCAAATGAAGTCTGAAAATTAAGGGGAACATTTGTACACACTAAACTGCAAGGCACTCTGAGTAGCATAATGCATTGCCTAATGCTTGGCCCCTCTCCATCTCCATGTGATGTGTGATGCTTCATTTTAATCACTCAGTGCCTGTCTTGGGTGTCACATCTTCTTTTGTTCTGCTATTCTTACTGTTTATAGGATTTGGAAATGCAGTTCTGAGCACCTAAGGGTGGGTGTAGTGTTCTAATCTGTGCCATGAGCATAAGGGTAGACTGCTATATCACCATCTCGTTAGGGTTGTCATTTATTATGTCAAGATTTGTTACGATTTATGTATTGTAGATATTAAGTTTTTGTATTTTAGTTATAATTTTGCCCTCTAAACCTTCTATTTGTGTGGAGTGTATCCTGGTATACCGGGTGACTAAGGATCTTGCTTTATTATTGTACAAATAGATACATGTGCTAATATAACCAGTGAATAATGTGACTGATTCTCTTGGTTGGGAGGCAGCATGAGAAGGGCAAGGTTAATTTTTGCAGATATGGAAATTTAATCTTGCTGACTTCATTTTGTGTTCTTGGAGTTGCTTGTTATTAAGTAAGACAGCAGTTGGTTAGTTCCAGCCAGGTTTTTTGTGTGTGTGTATTAGTGGGGAGAGAACTTAGGGGCTGTGTGTGCCAGGCTAGGGCTCTACTCTGAGCTGTATCTCCAACCCTACACCAGTCAGGCTTGGTAACTGCTTTCTCCTGTTATTTCTCCTTTTTGATTTCTTAGGGTAGTCTCATGTTTCACAAGCTTAGACCCGTAGACCAGCTGAGACATCTGCTTGTGAGTAACGTGGGAGGGGATGGAGAAGAGATCGAGAGATTCTTCAAATTACATCAGGTAACTATGCACTGCAGGGAGGGGTTGTAAATAAAGAAGCTGTAAAATATTTAGTTTATAAACTAGAAGTAAAACATTGTATTACGCAGATTATTTGTTCTCTTTTTTACTCGAATCAACACGTATGTATTGAATTTGAGAATAGTAATGTTACAAGGCTCTTTCACGTTTATTCTCTGATTTTGACACATTCTTATTAAGGTATAATAAAAATGTGATATTGAAGTTGTATAATAAATATACTTTTTATTCAAAGCACCAGTCGTTACTTTATGAGCATGCACATGTGTGTATGTTCCCAGTCACATGGAATAACCCTAAGGCAGTAACTTGAGGCAAAATATGGAGACATTAGTAATTAATAGCCATATTAGCATTGATAGATTTAAAACTGAGAAGCCTTATTTAAAATTACCACTTTCTCATTAAAGTTAAGTGTACAGATTCAGGATTCAGACTATCTGCTAAAAACCCCAATGGAGTGAGATACTTGTATTCACTAAGCTTTAGTTGTATGTAAACTGATTATACTGCAGCACTATGTGCTATAAGAACTAATAAACACTGGATTGGTTTGTTTGAGACAGGATTCTTTATGTATCCCTGGCAGTCCAGGAACTGTGTATGTAGGCCAGGCTGGGCTCCAACTCGGAGATGCTCCCGCCTCTGCCTCCTGAGTGCTGGGATTAAAGGCATGCACCACCATTGCCTGGCAATACTAGATTATTAAAATAGTGCCTAGCACATGATAGGTACTCAATAAATGTTGGTTCTTACTGATAATTTCTAAAAGATAGAGTACAAGATTAAAATAGAATAACAGTTGATCAAAATCTTAGTAAAGTATCTTTAATACATCAGTGTTAAAGCTAAACTTTACTTCTGGGCTGTTTGCTCTCTTCATGTCAGTTGATTTCATTCCATCAGCAAGTATTTATTGAGCACTTGCTTAAACGCTGGATTTATCTTTAAAGTACAGGTTTTTTTCCCTTTCAGGAAGACCAAGCTTGTGCAACTTGCCTTATTCTTGCTTGTTCCACTGCCGCCTGTGACAGAGAAGTGTCTGCTTGGGCTGCGCGGGCATTCTTTAGGTATGTCAGGGGAGAGAGAGAAAGAGAGTCTGTTGATATACTCAGCCACTTTGGTTGTGGGGAATTTGGAGAGTTAAACATAGGTTTGTTTTTGGTCTTTTTGTTTGGTTGTTTTGTTTGTTTGGTTTTTGCTCATGCTATGTAAACAGCACTGTACCACAGAGTTACATCCTTAGTCCAAAAGTGTTCATCAAATACTTGAAAAATATTGTGAAATATTTATATATAGAAAACCTGCTTTTTTTGTTGGTTGGTTGGTTGGTTGGTTTGTTGGTACTAGAAATTGAACCTAGGGTCTTATACATGCTAAGCTCAATCTCCAGGGCCACTAAGCAATTACTTTGTGTGTATAAATATTTTCCTGCATGCAACTATGTAGCTCATGCATGCAGTACTGTTGGGAAGCAGAAGAGTGCAATGGATTCCCTGAGACTCCAGTTTTTGACAGTTAGGAGCTTCCATGTGGATGCAGAATATAGTACCCAGGTCCTCTGCAAGTCTGCCCTGTGCGCTTAACTGCTGGACTCTCTCTGCAGCCTGGGATTTTCTGTCGTTGGTAGTGGTGTTTGTTTGTTTGTTTGTTTGTTTGTTTGTAGACAGGGACTCACCATTCAGCCTGTGTTGGCTGAGTGCTAGGATTAAAGAGACACCATTTTTAGGCCACTGGCCACTTTTATTTGATACTGCTGCGATAGTTTAAGGCTTTGCCAAATGGGAAAATAGGCAAATTATTAACCTTCGTTAGTAAGAGTAAAATCTAGAAAGATAGTAATGCCTATGGAACAGGCTAAGGCGCATAGTGTGTGCATCACTGTTCTCTGGGTTTACGTCTTTTGACCTCTGTTTACACTTTTTACCATCATCGCTCCTCCATCATCCTTACTTCCTCAAACAACCGGTTCTAGAGCATGGGCATCAATGGTGCTGAGGGATTCTGAGTCACAGGAAGGAAACTTGGTGTCAGAGATAGTTTTTAAACATCTGGTTTCTTATTGGTTTTTTTGTATTTGTTTTCATGTTTTTGGTTTTTGCAGTACTGGGGATTCAACCAGGATTCACTAGACAAGCATTGTGCCAGTAACCTATGCCCTAGCCTCAAGAGATTTTCTTTCTATAAAATATTTAGCCAGAAATTTGAAGAATGCCTGTACTGTATCTTTAAATTTATGGTTCTTGAGTTAAGAACACTGGCTGCCCTTTTAGAGGACCCAGGTTCAATCTTTACCACCCACATGGCAGCTGACAACTGTCCCTCTACTTCCAAGGGATCTGACACCCTCCTGTGGCCTTCATGTGCAGACACATATTCAGGCAAGACACCATACACATAAATAAATCTTTAACATTGTTTTAAAAATTTGACTAAATATATTCTATTAGAAAGACTGTGTCATTTCTGTGTTAAGCAAACTATCCATTACATGTCCTTTTTTAGACATTAGTAGCGATTTTGGAAGTTTGATTTCTTTTTTTTAAAAAGCCACAGAAATATTATATGAATGTGTTTTCATTTTAATCCCAACTGTGGGATATGGCACTGCTTCAGACTGTCCGAAGCAGCTGACTGTGATTGCCTAGTGCTCTAGCTGAGGTGTGCAACATTTGGGATTCTGGGAATTTTTCAGAGGTTATATAAATGCTAGGGCCTCAAGAGGTGGGGTGGGTTGTTGGTTGTTGTGGGGGTTAGTCACAATTTGTTAGTACTCATGCTCAAAGGAGAAACAGGAAGAACAAGTTAGATTCAGGGATCTGTTCCTTTTCTTCTCTCTCCATGGGATTAAAGGAGTGGACAGAGGGTGGAGGATGGAAGAAAAGAACCCACAAAACCAGAAACACTTAGTAGTCTCTTCTAATGTTCTGATAGCAATTTGAGATCAATATTTGTTGAAGGATTATGCTAGATACATATTGATTTCCCCGTGAGCACCGTATATTAACGTCTCTACCAATTGTATGGCAGCTAAGAGCAGGATTGTCCCAGCTTTTACAAGATTGACAGTTTAATTGAACTCATACTCTTGTCACACAAACAGGTATGGTGGTGAGGCACAGATGAGATTTCCAGCTACTCTTCCCACTCCAAGCAACGTTGGTCCCATCCTGGGCTCTCCTATGTATTCTAGTGAGTACGGAATGATGTTCTAGGAGTACTTCTGTGTAACTAGTGAGTACTCTCTAGAGAGGGACTCTTGAATCTTTGGGGTTTTTTGTTTGTTTTTGTTTGTTTGTTTGTTTGTTTTTTCAGGGTTAGTGTTGATTTTTTTTGTTTTGTTTTGAGATAAAATTTTCCTGTGCAGCCTTGGCTGGCCTGGAATTTGCTGTGTAGACCAGGCTGACTTTGAACTCAGAGAGTCCCTCCCCCCCCCCCGCCCCCCCCCGCCCCCCGGGCTTTGTCTTCCAGTGCCAGAATTAAAGGCATGTGCTGTCACCACCCCTGGCAATATTGAATCTGTAACGAATACTAAGAAGCAAAATAATGCGCAACCAATAGTATTTACAGATTTTAAAAAAGAAAAGAAAGTGATGAATAGTCAGGTGATAAGCACATCTGTATCCATCTCCTTCAGATGGGAGAATGTCTAGTTGAGAATGTGTGTGTCTGCTTCTTGACTCGAGTAGGCAGTGTCTGTCCTTCCTCAGTCACACTGATACATAGCTCCTTTATAGAATCTTGATCAGACTCAAACCATTGGAAAGGTATTTTACATGTCGCTGTTTTGTTTGTTTTTTTTTTTTCTTTTCTAGGTTCTCCTGTCCCTAGTGGGAGTCCCTATCCAAATCCATCCTCTTTGGGGACACCATCCCATGGTACTTCTTTTCTGTTCATTTTGAAGAACTAACAGTAATTATTGTTCCTAATATTTAATGTTGAAAGGTCTAATTTGCATGATCCCTTAAAAAAAAAGAGAGAGAACAGAGGTTGAGGAAATAATTCAGGTGGTAAAATGCTTCACAGACCACTAAAACCTGAGTTTGATCCTCACAATCAATGTAAAACAGCTGAGAAAGCCCATCCATGTCTGTACTTCTTATCAAACAAAACCAAGTGGGTATCTCTTCATTATCTTTAAATATTTTCCATTTGTTTTAAGATACATCAAATGGATTATTGAAATTTCTAAACACTTACAATTTCTTTTTTTAAACTATTTTTATTAATTTGAGAATTTAATACATGGATACAATGTATTTGAGCTTATTTACCCACAACTCCTTCTGGAACCACTGTCCCAAACCCTAGCCCTTCTCAACCTTGTGTCCTATTTAATACCACCCAGTCCAATTTGTACTGTCCACACACCAATGGACATGGCCATCCACTGGAGCGTGCAAAGGCCATAAACATCTTTAGAACCCAGAAGCCATCAATTGCTAATAGGTCCTCAGCTGGAGGCAGAGGCTTGTGAGCCTTTCTCTTTTCATGCTGGAATGTTGAGCTCTAGAATGCAGCAGCCCTGTCATGTGCAGAAGGCCCTTCTCTACCCCCACCCCCCGACTCCCCAGGTCTTTCTTACTTCTGGTTCTTGTAGGCTTTTCACCCCTCTCCCATGATGGTCCCTGTGCCTTCTGGTGGTGGGTTGGGGTTGGGCTATGGTATAAATGTGTCATTTTTGACTGAAGCCTCCATAGATCCTCGTTCTCTGCGTTTCATGCTCTTCTTTGTTAGCCACAGCCTATGGCACAAAGAAGCTTGTCTGAAGACATTGAGAGCTGCGCTGACCCCTGTATATGGAGATGTAAATTTAGAAGGCTGCTTGACAACTCTGTGTATTTAGCAAATTAGCAAAGTAGCAGTAGTAAGTTGGAGCTCGTGAGCCTTAGAGATGAGCCTAGGATCTACTGAGAGACTTTTTCTTATGTTTGCACAGGTGCTCAGCCTCCTGTCACGTCCACCCCAATGTGTGCTGTTGGAAACCCAGCCATGCAAGCTGCAAGCATGAGTGGTTTGAGTGGCCCAGAGATTGTGTATTCAGGAAAACACAATGGTATTTGCATTTACTTTTCTCGAATCATGGGGTAAGTACTTTGCAATCTACCTAGTTACTATTTACTTTGTCCTTTTGTAGTAGTTGGAATATTCCTAAATCTATGTTTGGGACATTACTTACTGAATTTCACTTATAGTTCTTTGTGGGTTTTTTTTTCCCCCATCAATTTTTTTATTCTTTTTTCATCCCAGTCAAAGCCCTCCCATTTCCTGATCCCCCCTCACTCAGTTCCTCCCCTTATTCCCTCCTTCCCTTCTCCTTTGAGAAGGGGAAAGCCCCTCTGGGTACTGCCCCGCCCTGATACATCAAGTCACTGCAGGACTAGGTGCATCCTCTTCTACTGAGGACAGACAGGTTAGCTCTGTTAAGGGGATGGGATGCACAGGTAGGCAACAAATTTAGGGACATCTCTTCTAGTTGTTGGGGGGGACCAGCATGGAGAACAAGCTGCACATCTGCTACATATGTGGTGGGGGGCGGGGGGCTAGGTCTAGCCCATCTGTGCTCTTTGGTTGGTGGTTCAGTCTCCGAGAGCACCCAAAGTCCAGGTTAGTTGACTCGGTTGGTCTGCCTGTGGAGTTCCTGTTCCCTTTGGGGCCCTCAATTCTTCCACAAGATTCCCTGAGCTCCATCCACTGTTTGGCTGTGGATTTCTGCATCTGTTTCAGTCAACTGCTGGGTAGAGCCTCTCGAAGGATAGTTATGCTAGGCTTGAATCTGCAAGCATAACCGAATATCATTAGTAGTGTCAGGAATTGGTGCTTTCTCATGAGATGAGTCTCAAGTTAGGCTGGTCTTTGGTTAGCCATCTCCTTAGACTCTGCCTCATCTTTTTCTCTGTACTTCTTGTAGGCCAGACAGATTTTGGGTTGAAGGTTTTGTGAGTGGGTTGATGTCCTTATTCCCCTGTAATGGGTCCTGTCTGGCTTCAGGAGGGGACCACTACAGGTTCTATATCCCCACTCCTAAGAGTCTCAACTAGAGTCACCCCCATAAACTCCTTGGAGCCTCCCCATTTACTTTTAGTTTTAAGTTCATCCATTGATACAGTTTTTTACATTGTTGAACCCTTTACCTGTATTCATTGTTTTATTTCTGTGCATAGAGCCTCAGGTTATATCTAAATGCACATTAATAACTAGACTTTTAAACATCCTGTCACTGAGTAGTGTGTGTCTGGATTTCAGCTGGGCAGTTCTGGTCTCACTTGGCTCACTCCTGCAGATGCAATCAAATGCTACAGTAGAAAGAGGTTTATTTATCTTAACTGTACTGCTGTATGCTCAAGGCCCATTTATACACTGGTGTCACACGGGCACACACTTCTGTTCTCTGTATGGTCTCATCCTTCAGTAGGACAGCCAAGAATCTGTCTCTTACTGGTAGTGGGACCGCATGTGAAGGTTGAAGCTTCCAGAGCCCCTCAATGCCTCTGTTCACAACAGTGCTATTCTCTGTCCTGTTGTATCTGGTCACCTTTGATTCAGAAGCTGGTGAGGAGACACCATTGCTGTAAAGGACAGGTGTGGAAATCATGCTGCAGAGGAAGTGGTAAAGGGAAGGATAAACCACGGCTGCCCCTATTTGTAGTCCTCCCACGCTGTCTAATTAGCTGCCATGCCTGTATATACTGATCTTCAGTTGGGGTAGAGGCTTTCATTAGCGGCTGTGTGTCTGATGTCTGCATATTCCTGTGATCTTTATGATTTTTTTTTTATTTTACGTATACAAATACTTTTCCTGCGTGTATGTATGTGCACTGCATATATGCCTGGTACCCCTGGAGTACAGAAGAATGCACCAGATCACCTGAAACTGAGATACAAGACTGCTGTTAGCTGTCCTGTGGGTGCTGGGAACTGAACCTAGATCCTCTGCAAGAACAGTTAGCACTCTTAGCCACTGAGCTTTTCTTTAGTGTACTTTGAATTTCTGGAGTAATAGGAATGCTATGTTTGAAATTTTTCAGGTTTTTCCAATTTCTTCTTTTCTCAGATCGTGTTTAGTATTGGTGTGTATGCACAATGGAGGAGAGGTACATGTACCACGGTGTGCATGTGCGTATCAGAGGACACTTGTGAAATCAGTCCTTCCCTTCTAGTTTGATGTGGGTTCTGCGGATGCCATTCAGGTCACAAGGCTTCAAGTATCTCTTCTTGCTGAGCCGTCTCTCTAGACTTGTTTTCTAGGAAACTTAGAAAATGTTAAATTAAGTCGTCTACTGTGTTTGAAAAAAATGAATAAAGTCTTCATGTTCCTATACACAAGTAACTGCATGTTATAAAAGGTTGTATTTGTTTACAGTGCAATAATTAAAACATTTTTGTTTCAGAAATATTTGGGATGCTAGCTTAGTTGTTGAAAGAGTATTCAAGAGTTCCAACAGGGAGATCACTGCAGTAAGTGTGTATAATGTTACTTCCTTGTTTGTATGTGACCAGTTGATGATGTTATTCAGTAGGAAGTGTTTCTCATGTCTTAATTGCTTGATGAACATGTTTTGTGTTCTCATCCAGTAAACTGTCCTTTCTCTAGTTTATGTCTTGCCCCAGTCACTTAACCTAGTAAAGTTTTTAACATTTGATAGCCTGGTACTCCAGTGCAAAATGAAAAGAATAGCCTGACTCCTTCAGGGAGTCAAGGTTGCTGTGAGGTTGGAGAGCCAGCGCTGACTTAGCCGCCCCATCTGTTCTCACTTATACTTGCCTTTTACAGAAGCGTGACACTCTCACAGTCTCAGCAGTTAGTGCGAGCTCTTGTGCACTTCACATTGCTATAAAGAAACATATCACAGAGCTTTGTTTTTATAGAGTGAGTAGGCTTGCTTTAATCTCTCGGGTTTTTTTGTTTTTTGTTTTGTTTTCTTTCCTTTGCTGTCCTTTGTTTTCTTTGCTGTTCTGTTTTTCTATTTTTTGTTTTGTTTCTGTTTTCCCCAAAATGATCTTGCAATGTATTTCAAGCTGCCTTTGATCCTGTGACCTTCCTTCCACACCCTCCGAGTACTAGGATTGTACACATGCACTGGCATACACACCCACTGACATAAACACACACACTGACGTGCACACTCACTGACATGCACTGATACATACAGCCCAACCCAAATTTTGATGCTCTTTTAGAGTTCATATTTCTAATAATAAGAATGCATTTTATCTAACATAGTATTTGTATGCGCTGCAGAATGGACTGAATTAATCCATAATGATAGTAGTGAAGTTTCCTTGAACTGATTGATTTATTGGCAGATAAGGACATGAGGATGTAGGTGTTAACCCTGCTGAACGGTAATCTGAATGATGACCATGGAACTGTGGAAAGTAATTAAGATGTCCACTTGTTATTTTTGTTCTACTACATATAAATTTTATGTTAATCATAAAAGAACAGGGGGAAGGACATGGGTAACTTTCAGTGCTCTTTATTTTGGCTAATTGGATGCTGAATGGAATTTAAAAATAAAAAGATAGCATAGCTCAAAACGAATTGTATATATTTACCGTAGACTCTTAAGGAGTATTTTTTTATACATACACTTTTTCTGTGTCTTTAAATGTTTGCAAACTTTCATTCCCAATCTTACAGATTGAAAGCAGTGTACCCATCCAGCTGCTGGAGTCAGTGCTACAGGAACTGAAGGGTTTGCAGGAGTTTCTAGACAGAAATTCCCAGTTTTCAGGAGGACCGCTAGGAAATCCAAAGTGAGAACCAGATCTACTTACTTACTTACTTACTTACTTACTTACTTACTTTTTTTTTCCTGTGTATGGAGGATGTTTTGTCTTATCACCTTGAGATATTAGAATGAAAGCCAGGACCTTACAGATTGTAGGCAAGTACTCTACCACTGAACTACAGACCTAGCTATTCAGTTTTTCTTTCTGTTGTATTTTGTTCAAACATTAGAGCTTTACCATTCAGTCTTTTGCTTAACGTTCATTGATGTTTGGCCTGTATGTGCATCTATGGAAGGGTGTCACAAACCCTGAAGCTGGAGTTACAGACTAGTATAAGCTGCCATGTGGTTGCTGGGAATTGAACTGGAGTCTTCTGGAAGACAGGATCTCACTATGTAGCCTTGGCTATCCTGGAACTCCCCAAGTAGACCAGGCCAGCCTCAACATCACAGATTTTTCTGCTTCCGTCTCCTGAGTGCTGGGGAGTAAAGGCTTGTGCAACCATACCCAGTCCACAAGCTATCCTCGTAAGCAGTCCTTTGCTATAGATGCAGTGTACTCACAAGGCTATCATCATCACTTTTGTTTAGTCCTGGGATATTCTTGTGCCAGTAAGAAAGTCTGTGCTTGTTTTCAGTCCCTCTCCATTGACTCTCTCCCAGTTCCTGTACCCTAGTGAATTTTCTACCACAGTGAATCTGTCTACTATTTTACCTAAGTGAAAATATGCAATGTTAGGTTTTTGTGCATAGATTTATTTATTTTTATACAGTTAGGAAAGAGCCTATAATATTTCTGTTTTTATTCTATTTCTCAAAGTTACATTTCTTTGGAGTTGTGTGGGTGGGAGGTGTGTATGCTATAGCGTCTGTGTGGAGGTCAGAGTGTAAGTTGCCTGAATTGGTTCTTTCCTCCACTATGTGGGTTCTGGGGATCCAATTCTGGTCATCCGACTTAGCAACAGGCACTGTTACCTAGGCTACTAAGATATCTTACCTGCCCAAATGTGCTATTTTTTAAAAGCATCTATTCAGTCTTAGAATTTTTCTTTCTAGCCATATTATAAATCCACACACCGTGTTTGTTTGTTTGTTTTCCTTTTTCTTGTTGACCAGCACTTGCGATATGGTCTCACAGTCCTATGAATAAGCTCTTGGGTTAATTCAGCAGACCCAGCGCTGGCAGAGTATTCATAACTGTCTGATGGTTGTAAAATCACAATGACAGCCTGACACTAAGTTGTGCCAAGGTTTGACAAATTCATTTTAGGATATTAATGAAATACTTCAAAAGCCTGCTGTGAAGCGCTCAGGTTCTTCGTGTTTGAGGTGACGCTTGTTTGCTTGTATTTGTTATTTCAGTGAATTTCTGCTACATTGCCGTCTTCAAACACATGCTTATCTCTTATGTTGTATTGGCATATTTGATGACCGGTGCATCCAGCCACCACATTTAAGAATATTTTATCGGCAAGCAATATTTTCAGTTAATGTTTTAAAAATAAGAATGTGTTTAAACTTGCTGAATGTGTAGATTGACCTTCAGGTTACTGTAGCTTAGTAATTGCTGATGTTTTATTTAAGTACTAGTGCATGAGCTGTGCACATTCTTGTCTTACTAAAATAAGAAATTTTAACTCCAAAAAAAAAAAAAGGTACTGTCCACACCTGTATTTTCTAATGTCTGATCTATGCGCCAGTGAAACTCTCACTCACTCTGAAATGTACGTTTCAGTACTACTGCCAAAGTGCAGCAGAGGCTGGTTGGATTCATGCGTCCCGAGAATGGAAACACCCAGCAAATGCAACAGGAGCTGCAGAGGAAGTTTCATGGTAACTTATTTCTTGTGACCGCACCAATGGAGTGTCTTAAAAACACAGGATTTGTTTTTCTTTTTAATTATGGTTGGGAAAATAGAGAGCAGCATGCAAATGATTTCTTTTTGTACTTTTTTCCGCCTAAGATGTTTGCCTCTTTGTCCCCAGAAAGCATGATATATAGTCTATTTGATGAACTTTTTCTTCATCGTGGTAACATAAATATACCTTAACGTTGACCGTTGTAGTTTTTGACATTTTTAATCATTCATATAGATCCCGGTTACTCTCTCCCTCCATCCACTCTCCCTCCCTTCCACTACAGTCAAACCTCCCACACCCCGGGCCCTTTCCAGCTTCATGACTTAGTTTTCTTATGTAATCCTTTGGGCCATCTGGGTGATCTATTGGGCTAGGTCATTGAACTTGGTGGGGTCACCAGTGAGTACACAGCTGAGGAACTGATCCCCCGTCTCTGATTCCATTGCTAGGGAATGATTGGGTTTGAGCCCCTGGGCTCCTTAAGTATACAATTCAGCATATTCAGTATGTTCATGTTGTGCGACGATTGAACTTTCTTATTATTCCATAGTGAAACTCCTACTTTCCCTGTCATCAGCTCCCACTGATCTTCCATTTTCTTCATTTTGACTCTGAGTACTTAGCATAGCATTTATTTCATTGTGTTACTGGCTTACTTACTTAGCATACTCCTTTCCACATCCAACCATGCTGTAGCATATGTTAGAATTTCCAGTCTAAGACTGGATAACAGTCTTTTGTAACACACACATGCACACACAATATAATATAATATTTATTCATTTTTGTCCCTTTTGATGTATTCTACTTACTTATAAGATAAGGCAAGTTATCATGACTGACCGAATTGATTTAATAATATACTAGGGTATGTTATACAAGGTTTGAGAAACTCAGTCCTGGGAAACTTGAGGTGCCTTCTAGAAAGCCCTCTAAGTATTGTTTTAGGGGCACTGTGTTAGGAGGAGTCTAAGTGTCTGTTGGGTGGAACTGTTGAATGTGGCAAAGTTAAGAAATGAGACAAAGCCACTACAGTGTTTTTATTTTCCACATAAGCATATGCAGATGTTTTTCATGTGTATTCACGACAGTGTATTTCAGGGCATGAGAACGTGAATGCTCCAGTTGGCTGTAGTGGAGGCAGGGGAGACGTGGGCATGTCGCTCTTAGCTGTGCTGTATTTGACACGAGGAAGCAGTCCCCCTGTGTCATTTGGTGAAATGTCGTTACTTGTATTTTGTTATTAGAGGCTCAACTGAGTGAGAAGATTTCACTTCAGGCCATCCAGCAGCTGGTTAGGAAGTCATACCAAGCTCTGGCTCTGTGGAAACTCCTTTGTGAACATCAGTTTTCTGTCATTGTAGGAGAACTTCAAAAGGTGAGGTGGCTTTTGTCCTCTACCCAAAATGCTTTTTTTTTTTTTTTTTTTTTAATGTTCATGTGTGCTCTATGTGGTGTTTGAGGCAGGTGGATCTTTCTAAGTTGTAGGCCAGCTTGGTATTTGTAATGAATTAATCCCAGGACAGCCAGGGCTGTGTAGAGAAAACTCCACCTCAAAAAAATTAAATTAAAAATTGATGCATGTGTGTATTCTGCCTATATGTGTGTAAATGCTTGCCTGGTGGTGCCGAAAGGAGCCGTCAGATGCCCTTGGAACTGGAGTTACAGATGTTGTGATCTTCCGTGTGGGTGCTGGGAACTGAGGACATCAGATGCCCTTGGAACTGGAGTTACAGATGTTGTGACCTTCCGTGTGGGTGCTGGGAACTGAGCCTGTGTCCTCTTTAAGAGCGCCAGTGCTCTTGACTGCTGAGCTGCCTCTCCAGTCCCTACAGTTCTAGCTTTAAGCAACGTTTCAAAATGAAAAAGTGGTCTCCAGTTCAATTTCCTAGTGGCAGGCAGAGAGTGGTTACAGTTGTTTTTGCAGTCTTTCTTGGTTTTTAAACTTACATAAACTTTTGTTTTCCCCCTTTTAAAATTTGAAACTCTGCTATTTAGTGGATGGAAACCATTTTATTTTCCATGCTAGGAAGCATGTTTTCGGATTTCCTTGCATTATAAACTTAGGGTAGGAACTTCTTAGGCTCCAAGTCATTTGTGACCTGCTTTCAAGCCTTCCTTGCCTTCTGTTACTGTGTATGTGTTCAAGGAATGCAAATAAGTATTTGCCCCAAAGCTTGCAATATTTTGTAAATATTTTTGTTGAGATTTAAGAAAAAAAATACATAACTATAAAAATACTTTCTGGACTGCAAAATGACCTTACCTTTTAGAGCTATAGCTTAGCAAGAAAATGTGTTCAAAATGCAGGTCAAATTCATGCATCTAATTTTGGAATCACAACATTATTTAGGAAAAACAAAATGAAAGCACAAGATTCTTTTGTCTTTGATCTTTGGAGACAGGACCACACTATGTAGCTCTGGCTGTCCTGGAACTTCCTGTGTTCTCCACACTGCCCTCCGTCTCCCAAAGGTCTGGCTGCCTGAACCTCCAAGTGCAGAGACGACACAACTCCTTTCAGCCAGATTTTTTTTATAGGTAGCCTAGTGATTGTTTTTGCCAATGGCCAAAAGCAAAGTGGCCTGATACTAGTGCTGGCTCTACCTTGATTCGACTTTTTTCATTCAAAGTCAGAGGTCTGAATTAAAACTACTATAGGCTCTGACTTTATATGATTTTATTGCTTTTTTTTTTTTTTGCAAAGCTGTGTCAATGGTGTATTTTGTTTGTCAGTGCTGGGAGCCTTAGCCCTATTCTTATTTAAATTGGAGTCTATTGGTAGAGTCTTTTATTACTAATGAAATTTCAGCATGGTGGCTCATACATTTTAATCTTAGTATTTGGGAGGCTGAGGCAGGTAGATCTGTGTTTAAGGCCAGCCAGGTCTACATAGTAAGTTCTAGGCCAGTAAGTGCTATCTAGTGAGGCCCTGTCTCAAAAAACAAATGAATTCTACTTTGTGAGGAAATAAAGTATTCTTTGATTTTGATGAAAGGTTTTCTCTCTCTTTCTAGGAATTTCAAGAGCAGCTGAAGATCACCACCTTTAAGGATCTAGTGATCAGGGACAAAGAGGTCACTGGAGCATTAATTGCTTCTCTTATCAACTGCTACATCAGAGACAACGCTGCTGTAGATGGCATTAGTTTACATCTACAGGACACCTGTCCACTTCTGTATAGCACAGATGATGCAGTTTGCTCTAAGGTATGATGTATGATGTGTCACTGCTTCTTTAGTGTTTTATATGTGAGGTTTCATAGTGATGAGTGGGAGTGGAGAATCATGATTTTTCCATACATGACCTCAGGGTCATTTCTTAATATGCTCCACTGTCAGAATCCTCAATTAAGAGATGGGTTGAAGTATATAGTTTCTTAAAAGTACATGTATACTCTTTTAAGAGCGTACTCTTTTTTGTTACATATAGAGAATCTTTGACAGTATTTTTAGGCCATGGTTTAAAAGACAAAGCCTATGGGACTGGACAGTGATGTCTTTTGGCTCAGTGGTTAAGAGCACTGACCTTTTCCGGAGGACCCAGGTTCAACTCCCAGCACCCATATGGCAGATCACTACTGTCTATAAAACCAGTCCCAAGGGTTCTGCCGCCCTGATCTGACACCCATAGGCATCAGGAACATTCTGCTCAGACATACATGCAAGCAAAACACCCACACACATAAATTTTAGAAAGGTGAAGGTTAGCAATTAAGGGAAAAGCATCATTTAATTTAGTAATTAAGATAATTGGAGTTTGTTTCCTTCCTTAGTAAGGAAAATCACTAAAACTTTAAGTAAATTTGGAGTGAATCAAAGTTAATGAGGCAATTCTTATTGATCCTTTCCTACAGGTGAAAAAAAAAAATTAAGTGTCACATGATGAACTGCCTGCTGACCAATAATGTATTGACTAGGCAAGAGCATTCCCAGACAAGGATATCTGGGAAAGACTAGCTAGGATTATTTTGGTCAAAAACTTTTCTGCCTAAAAGTAAGAAGTAAGTTTGTAGAATTTTTATTTATAATGATAATAAGCCACATGTAAATTTAGACAGACTAAACATATAAACAGCATCGTCTGCCTGCTTGATTTTGCCTCTGTTTAAACTTTTCTCCTCTCTTTAGGCAAATGAGCTTCTTCAGCGTTCCCGACAAGTTCAGAGTAAGAATGAGAGAGAGCGAATGTTAAGGGAGTCACTGAAGGAGTACCAGAAAATCAGCAACCAAGTAGACCTTCCCAGTGTTTGTGCTCAGTATAGGCAAGGTGAGAACCACATCCTTCTTTGTATCTTTTTCATAGCTAAGAGGACACAAGGCCATGTGTGAGTGCAGCAGAGTGAGCTAGAGTCTCTTCTCAGAGGACATG